TGATTTATTGCTCCTTTCACTTCAATATGCACCTACTGTGCAGACTGGTGAGCTTTACCCTGTTATCTCAGCAGTTGTTCAGTAAGGGTCCCAGGAAATCAATAGGAATATTTACAATCCAACACCATTGGTGTTAGGATTACAGGGAAGGTTAGTGTTGGGGTTACAGGGAGGGCTGGTGTTGGGGTTACAGGAAAGGTTGGTGTTGGGGTTACAGGGAGGGTTGAGATTACAGGGAAGGTTGGTGTTGGGGTTACAGGGAGGGCTGGTGTTGGGGTTACAGGGAGGGCTGGTGTTGGGGTTACAGGGAGGGTTGGGATTACAGGGAAGGTTGGTGTTGGGGTTATAGGGAGGGTTGGTGTTGGGGTTACAGGGAAGGTTGGTGTTGGGATTACAGGGAGGGTTGGGATTACAGGGAAGGTTGGTGTTGGGGTTACAGGGAGGGCTGGTGTTGGGGTTACAGGGAGGGTTGGTGTTGGGATTACAAGGAAGGTTAGTGTTAGGGTTACAGGGAGGGTTGGTGTTGGGGTTACAGGGAGGGTTAGTGTTAGAGTTACAGGGAGGGTTGGTATTGGGGTTACAGGGAGGATTAGTGTTGGGGTTACAGGGAAGGTTGGTGTTAGGGTAACAGGGTGGGTTGGTGTTAGGGTTTCAGGGAAGGTTGGTTGTTGGGGTTACAGGGAGGGCTGGTGTTAGGGTTACAGGGAGGGTTAGTGTTGGGGTTGCAGGGAGGTCTGGTGTTAGGGTTACAGGAAGGGTTAGTGTTAGGATTACAGGGAGGGTTAGTGTTAGGATTACAGGAAGGGTTAGTGTTAGGATTACAGGCAGGCATAGTGTTAGGATTACAGGCAGGCATAGTGTTAGGATTACAGGCAGGCATAGTGTTAGGATTACAGGCAGGCATAGTGTTAGGATTACAGGCAGGCATAGTGTTAGGGTTACAGGGAGGGTTAGTGTTAGGGTTACAGGGAGGGTTAGTGTTAGGGTTACAGGGAGGGTTAGTGTTAGGATTACAGGCAGGCATAGTGTTAGGGTTACAGGGAGGGTTAGTGTTAGGGTTACAGATAAGGGATAGTGTTAGGTAGGGATGAGCTCTGGCATGTTTGCACAAGAGGCTGAAACCACCAGAGCTATCCCTCAGTAAACCTGTTAAAGCTGATAGGCAATCACAGGCGATGAAGGCATTTCCTGCCCTGCAGCTGCATGTATGCATGGGGCTTGTATACTTGCCATTGTGGGGTGAGGAAGGCCAACGCTGGCATTGATTGGCTGTTGACTTTGACAGCTTTCCAGTGGGATAGCTCATGCAGAATTGGACTCGTGTCCAAACATGCCTGAACTCAGCACTAGTGTTACAGTACCAGGGTGGGTTAGTGTAAGGGCTAAAGGAAGGGTTAGTGTTAGGGTTACAGGGACTGATAGTGGTTAATATGAAGGTACCCTAGTGTAGGGCATAACTGTGTGCATTGGAAGCTCTGTACCAAATAATACCTGTGCTGATTCTCAAGTGCTAAAAGGGTAGAAAACGCCCATTCTCCTAAACATGGCCTTGGTAGATGAACTTTGGTCCTGACAACATGGAAAGAACACGTTCAAAATATTTTATAGATAAATACTTCTGATCCTACTAATGGGCTTGTCTCCTCTGTCCTCACAGATCTCACTTTGGCATTGTTGGAGGTTCATGTGGAACAGAAATTCGTGACGGCGGTGGAGGGACATAGTATTACTCTCCCTGTCTGGTACTCCAGCAGCTCTGAAGAAAAACCATATGTAATTTGGTTTATTCAGCGCGATCAGATGGAGCAGGTTCAGGTATGTTGTATTTATCTTTAAAATCAATATAAGGTGCATTCAACTTACAAATACATACAAGCTGCTGTACAGGATGCCAAAAATGGGTCCTGGACATGTCTCCGCTATTTGAGTAGTTCCTTTAAGGTGGACAATATGTCACCAGCACAACAAGGGTCTCTAGAATGGGTCCAAAATGTTTATTCAGCGATCACATCATAGTTACAGAAACAACATTTCAGAGCATTGTAGGAACCCTTCATCAGGAACTTCACAGGACCCCTTTATTGTCACATGCCTGATGAAGAGGTCATATGAGGATCCAAAACATCACTTCTGTAACTATAATGTGATAGCTAAATAAAGCTTTGGACCTGTTCTGGAGATTCTTGGTGTGTTGGTGATTTACCTTCCACTTTGAATGTCCTCTGTTTCCAGCCAGTGCTCGTTGCAGCACCCACTCACATTTACAGCCAGTATTCAGTAACATCTGTGTTGGGAATATTGTGGTTGAACTCCCTTTAAGGGGGATGAAGGAAACATCTTTTGAGTGCTCGGGGGTTCAGGGGGCCAGTGAGGAGAGGACTGACTTATAGTGCTCTCTGGATTAGTAAGTCCTCATTTAAGACCCGGAATTCGGAGGCTTGGAGAGACTTTGGGTGGGAAAGAGCCTGCAACCCCGACTACAGGATCCCAACAGGGTTAACCCATCTGCAGGCGAGGCCTGAAAAGGAACCAGAAGGAGTCAACACCTGTCTGTGAAGTGGGGTGAAGACATTCATAGCTGTGAGATGGTGTGGGAGTCCTGCTTAGATCCTGCGGCTTTTCCTCCTCCCCTGAAGCAGATGGGAACCTGAACCCAGGCATGGGACTGGCAATATGGCGGTGAGCTGTAATATTGCTTTCACTACATCAGAAATATGGGCTGTTTGTATTTTTGCTTTGCTGAAGAAAGCTATTTTATTTTCCTACATTTTTTTTGAAGAAATAAAGACTTTTAAAACTTCTGGTTGGTGATCCTGAGCTCTCCATATTACAACACCTTATGTAACATTCAGAGCTACGTCCGTAAAGCTGACCATATACAGCACACTCTGATTTCGCTATCTCCTATAGATTCAGAATAATGTAACTCAAGAGTATCTGGCCGGATATAAATGTAATAGACAACCAGACTGCAGTGTACATTATTGTTCTACTGAGTTTGTCCTTATTAATCAGAGAGCATGGAATATTACATCAGGTAAATGTAACACTAATAATGATAATAGCCCAGAAGGTGTTCTAAAAGGAAAGTCCAGCTGTACAATTGTTGACTGCTTCTGTAGAAATACACACCAGCACTGTCTCTTGTAGAGTATATAATCTGATATCTTTCAGGCCTAGTTACAAAGCAGGGTATTCACAGCATAGAAGTAAAATACCTTTCTGAAACCTTTTTCAAACTAACCTTGCACTTGCCACCTGCTTGCTGCAAGTGGCAAACATGAAATATTGTAATTAAAATACTATACTTTTTTTTATTTCAAATACCCATACAAAATCAGTTTCTCACAGCTGCCAATCAGATTCAGAATGTGATACAGGAAACAGAGACAGAAGTTACACAGTGCATAGTACAGGAAGTTCACTCCTGGTGGAATATTGAGGTGTTCCCTAGATTCTGGATCTGGCTGCATGGGAGTTCTAAAAAAAAAAAAAACACCAATTAGAGTAAACTAAGGGAATTTTCTAACTTTATCACAGCTGCAGACCAGCATTTGTCGCTCCAGAATTGCACTCTAAGATACACCTTATATTTTATGGGATTTTTAAGGCAACCTTGTAGTATAAACAAAGAAACCAATTGTTAAAAAGATCAACATTTTATTTAAACAAATTTCTTTTATCTGACACATTGATATATATCATGTAGACAAGACGTACTAGCCAATATAAAAAAAACAATTTTTGACAAATCATTCACTACACAATTTTGTGGTTTTTGCAATATGTATCCAGTGGTATCCCCCAAAGCTGATTTCCATCTTGCAACCTCAAGTTTGACTGCAGATATATTCAGCATGGGATCCTACGCTTTTTCGAATACATTAGTATAGATTCTTCCTCAGGGAAAGGATACCACTCTATAACAATAATTATTGTCAACAATCAATTATCAGTACATATCCTTACATTTGAGCAATAATAAACTAGCCATATAGGATACATAACTTACGTAGCTAGCACAAATAGTAAAAAGAAAATGATTCTCTGTGTTTAGAAGGCGAGTTTCTCCCATAGCTGAGGCCATCAGTTGACATAAAAGGACCACAGGTGCCACATCACAAGCACTGTCATTAAAAAAAAAAATAATAATTTTTATATATATATATATTTTTTTTTTTTTTTTTGCTATGTAGGCTTCCTACAGGTGGGAAAAAGTGATTTTATTAGAAACACAGAAACACAACCAAAGAAACTATATCCAGTTCACTCCCAGAGAGTGTCCATTTCTTTTTTACAGCCATGCTGAGCAGAATAATATACTGTACATGCACTGAGACAAGAACAGTAAGTAGAGTTACTGCTCCCACGCCATTTTTCTAATGCACTGTGATTAATAAACAACATCATTTTTTTTAAATCCTGTTTTTTTCATCCTTTGTTACATATCAGTGTTGCTGATCTTCAGTAGCCTCCTTCTAGCCACTTCCCGTCTACATGCACTCCAATGATGCCTGCATGGCATTTATCAGAGCGAGTCTCCTGACGGTGACAGCAGTGTACCATGTCTGCACAATGTGTGTGGAAACAGCCACTTGTAGTCTCAGAAGCACTATGACAAGGTGACAATGCAGAAGCACCATTGGGAGACAGGGATAGAGAGTTGTCACCCTATAACAGGAAATGCTGAACAAGGACCCTGATGGCAGGATCACCAGGGATGATGAAATGATTGCTTGATGACGATTATTGAAAGCTGCTGATTTAAAAATATTGTAAATTCATTTTGGAATGACATTAATATGTTAAAGCTTCTATGAGATTTTAGTGATTGGGTTTACACTGCATTCCAGATCCTCTAGTGTGTAATTTTTATGGATCCTTGTTATTTTTAGATCTTGAAATACATGGATGGAGAGATTTCCGTGGCTATGGATTTTAAAGACCGCCTGACTTTTGCCCATGCCATGCCGACGAGGAACATCTCCATCGTAATCAACAGAACGCTGGGGACTGATGCAGGAAAGTACCAATGTTATGTCAATCTGAAAAATGACGAAATCATCGGCAGCGGCAACATCGGGGTGGTGGATGTATCCATCCTGGGTGAGTGTACAGTTGTGGGCTGAGAACACACAGGGAAAAGGCCGGGGAAGGGTTAATGGGGGACTCCCAGAAGGAATTTGGTTATATTCCAGAGGTCGGGACAATGGCGGGTGGGCCAGGGCGAGACACATTGTGGAAAATGTCCATGTGTGTAAGGTGCGGCCCAGGGAGGGCACAATCTGTGATTATCATTAATATCACACACAGGGTCATAAACCCAACAAGTGTTAAAGGGCAACTCTAGACAACTGGGAAAACAAATCTGTTCATTCTAAATATATCATCCTGATACATGTATTTTCCAGTTGTCTGTGAACCCATCTGTGCTCCTTCTATATCCTGCCTACAAACAATGCAGAAATGCCAAAACTATCCCTGATGACAAATGAAGCTGTCACAGATCTTTGTAGATTGCTGTCAACAGCCTGGAACCTGTCCATTCCCCAGTATGAGCCCTATGGATCTTCTGTACAGCATCAACACTGATTCATTGCATCCCTGTGAGAGATAACCTCATGATCAGTTAACTCTTTCTGCTGTTAAACTGAGAAGGAAAACTACTTGAGCTGCCCTCCCACCAGCATGCAGGAGAAACCCAAACACTGGGGAGAGGAATATGTTACAGAGAAGCCAGAATTCCTAACCTTGGAATCAGTCATCAGTCCTCAATGGAAACATACAAGAGAATTCTCAGATATTCATAGCACTTTTTTGGTAAATAAACACTAGTCCCTTGGCACAATTGCTTGCCTTGCAGCACTGGGGCACTAGGTTCAGTTCCAGCCAGGAGCATTATCTGCATGGAGTTTGTACACTCTGTGGGTTCACCCAAGTGTTCTATATATTCTGTAAATACAGGGTAAATATAGGTCACTTATATTCAGGGCTTTTTTTCAGCAGGAACGTGGGGGGGAACACTGTTCCGGCACCTCCAGCACTAAATGTATGTAATGGCAAGGGGTGCTGGAAGGTCTAATAATGCTACAAGCTGGGGGATCTATTGTTGCGGGGGAGTCTTATGTTGCTGGGGGTGGGGTCAATTGTTGCTGGGAGGGATCTACTGTTGAGATGATCTATTGTTGCTGGCTGCTAGAAGTTCTATTAGTGCTATCTGCTGGAAGATCTATTGTTGCTGGGGTGGTATTTTGTTTCAAGGGAACTAATGTTGCTGGGGGTGGGGTCGATTGTTGCTGGGAGGAATCTACTGTCGAGGAGATGATCTATTGTTGCTGGCTGCTAGAGTTTCTTTTGATGCTGGCTGCTGGAAGATCTATTGTTACTGAGGTGGTATGGGAGTCTATTGTTGCCTGGGGGATGTATTATTGCAGGGGGACTAATGTTTTTGGGGTAGGGTCAGTTGTTGCTGGGACAGATCTGTTGTTGAGGAGATGATCTATTGTTGCTGGCTGCTAGAAGTTCTATTGATGCTGGCTGCTGGAAAATCTATTGTTGCTGGCATGGTATTTTGTTGCGGGGGGGGGGGGGGGTCTTTGTTGTCAGGGGGGATCTATTGTTGCTGGAAGGGTATATTGTTTATTTGAGGTCTGTTGTTGCTGGGTGGATCAGTTGTTGCTGGGTGGATCAGTTGTTGCTGGGCTGGTTTATTGCTGCTAGGGGGGGGGTCTATTGTTGCTTTGAGGATCTATTGTTGCTGGCTGCAGGGGATCTATTTTACTGCTTTTTTGTTACCATTAACAAATTCCATACAAGTCACTTAACACCAAAAATAATACCTCGTTCTGAATTCTCTAAAAGGGGCGGTATGGGTAGGTGCGTAGGGGGCGGGACTAAGGGACAGTGCTCAGAGGAGGGTAGGGGGCGGAGTGAAGGAATGACTTGGAAGGGGAGGGGGGGGTACCTGGACCTATCCTCTAAGAAATAAAGCCCTGCTTAGACTGTATAACATCCAGGTAGTAGCTGGGACTGCATAATGTAGTACGTAACAGAACATTTCTATTTTTATTGTCTGTAGTACCCATCCTTGATTTTAGGTATTACTTTGTATCACATCAGGAGAATCAATAATAACAACAAATACAATATATAAAACACTTTATTTGGCAGCACTGCTTTGTATTGTTCTCTGGTCTACACATGCCATCTAGTGGTCACTGATCAGTACTCCATGTGCTCCATGAAAACTGTCCACCTTATAATCTCCCATGTTCAGCACTGCAGTATGGGGAGGATTTATAAAGCGCTCAGCCATATGTTAATATGCTTTCTACATGCCAGCACAAAGTCTTTCTGAGTGAAAGCAATGCACTCTCTGCTGTAAACCACTCTATGTGCACCTACCCCCATTGTGTCTGGGCTACGCGAGACAATGGGGGAGATTTACTAAAACTGGAGAGTACAAAATCTGGTGTAGCTGTGCATGGGAGCCAATCAGGTTCTACATTCAGCTGGTTTAATTAACCTTTGACAAAAAAAATTGGAAGCAGATTGATGACTTTGCAGAGCTGCACCAGGTTTTGCACTCTCCAGTTTTAGCAAATCAACCCCAATGTAATCGACAGGTAGGCTTTAGGTCATAATTGGGAATTCAGAATTTGAATTTTCTTTAGCATTTAATGTCTCCTATTGTTTCAGGTGATGTAAATGTTAGTGACAGATTTAACACACTAGGCGGCACTAATATAAGCTGTGCAACTGATTTACTAGAACTGGAGAATGCAAAATCTGGCATGGCAGCCAATCAGCTTCTAACTTCAGCTTGTTCAATTAAGCTTTGACAATAAAACCTGGAAGATGATTGGTTTCTGTGCAGATTGCACCAGATTTTGCATGCTCTGGTTTTATTAAATCAACTCCAAAGTAGAAGTGTTCTGTATTTTATCCATCTATTCTCAGTCTGTTCTGAAAGTTGCTTTGTTGTAAGATGTATCTGCCTATATAATACCATTAATACACGGCTTATATGACATACCTATATATATATATATTACCATTAATACACTGCATATATGACAGACATACATATATATACACATTAATATATATATATATATATATATATATATATATATATATATACACACACACACACACACACACACACACACACACACACACACACACACACACACACACACATAACCATTAATACACTGCATATATGACATACCTATATATATATTACCATTAATATGCTGCTTATATGACATACCTATATATATATATATAACCATTAATACACTGCATATATGACATACCTATCTATATATTACCATTAATACACTGCATATATGACATACCTATCTATATATTACCATTAATATGCTGCTTATAAGACACCCCTGCCTATCTAATACCATGATTACACTACTTATAGGACATACCTGCCTATGTATTAACATGAATACACTGCTTATAAGACATACCTGCCTATTTGTTACAGTTAATACACTACCTATAGGACCTACCTGCCTATGTATTAACATTGGTACATTGCATATAAATAGATGTGTGCCTATTTATTACCTATTACCATTCTGTTATTAAACTGGCCATCTTTTATTGCAAGTTTTATAAAGCAATCTTTTTGCAGCATATTTGTAATCTGGAGATTAGAGAAGGTACATTTAGTCCTTCATCACCTGGACCTTTTTGGTTGGAGTATCTGTAGGATGGCTTTGTTATACACATCCTGATCCTTTTCATTTAATTATAATTTTTCTAGATTATTTGCTCACGCAAAGTGTAGTAATCCATGGCAGCCAGACATCTGACAATTCCTGCCACCTGCTATCTGGAAATTGAAATGGGGTTGACAGCACTTTGCATGCCAGCTCTGTTGTTCGGAATCTGTGATCTCTAATCCTTTTGCTGTCTGTTTTCTAGTGCCTCCTTCTAAACCCACCTGTCAACTTAATGGAAGTCCATACATCGGTACCAACATCACCCTCAGCTGCAGGTCATCATCCGGGCAGCCAACCCCCACCTACGCATGGATAAAGAAATCCACGATCAATGAGGTTTTCTTTCCGCCGGCCCACGGTAAAAAAAAAAAAAAAAAAAAAAAGACACTAAATTGAATTTACTAAGCCATAATGTTGTAGTTCTGATAAAGAATGTTGTAGCTTAGAAAACTGAGCCTGGACTTTCAGAGCTAAAGATATACAAGTGTATGCAATAAAATGGTTACCAAGAGCATCCAATCAGAATCTGCTGCTAGTCTGACTGCAGTGTGTTGACTTCTGTTTGGTCAATCCAGGTTTATGCTCCTTGCACTTTATGATTTTTTTAATGTCTTTAGACAATTTTTAATTTTTTTTTATACATTTTAAAAAATGACACTGACATGGAATCACTAAAAAGAAAAAAATAATTATAATATATTAGTATACAGTGTTTAAGGGATTAGCATTTAGTGGCCATTTTATTAGGTGCACATACTTGTTAATGAAAATAACAACCACTAAGGCCAATTTACAATACTGTGTTGCAATAATTAAGGCACAATACAAAGTTTTGTTCCAGAAGAGCGTTATATGACTTTCAACTTTCTGATAGTGATAAGGTGTGGGCAGGTGGAGACTGCAGTATATCCTCCAACCTGAAGGGGACACTGTGCTGTTTCTTCAGGCTGGCAGGCACCCATTAAAAACTACTTGTCCCCTGCTATGGGCTCCAGGCAGCCATATTGGGAAGGACAGCATATCCTATTGTAAAACTGATTCCCACAATATTTGGGTAGGCACCTTGACACAGAATTATATAAATAAGAGATTTTGCATCATTCGGTTTGCCTGCAGTGTGGGAGTAAGACAAGCACAAAGGCCTTGCTGGTTAGGGTTAGCAAGAGAGCAGAAGTAGCATTAGGGAGCAGTACCAGTTGAGGAGGGAGAGAGTAGATTGCGCCTTACAGGATGTCTCCTCTGTCCTTGAACAGTCTCCAAATAACATCCAGCCCTCCAAATCATTGGATTCAGGTGTTCCAATCACCTCCATGGCCACAGGTGTATAAAATCAAGCACCTGGGCATGCAGACTGCTTCTACAAATATTTGTGAAAGAATGGGTCACTCTCAGGAGCTCAGTGACTCCAAGCGTGGTACCGTGATAGGTGGCCACCTGTGCAATAAGTCCATCCATGACATTTCCTGACTACTAAATATTCCACGGTCAACTGTTAGTGGTATTATACCAAAGTGGAAGCAACTGGGAACAACAGCAACTCAGCCACCAAGTGGTAGGCCACGTAAAATGACAGAGCGGGGTCAGCGCATGCTGAAGCAAACAGTGCGCACAAGTCGCCAACTGTCTGCAGAGTCAATAGCTAAAGACCTCCAGACTTCATGTGACCTTCAGATTAGCACAACAACAGTGCGTAGAGAGCTTCATGGAATGGGTTTCCATGGCCGAGCAGCTGCATCCAAGCCTTACATCACCAAGTGCAATGCAAAGCGTTGGATGCCATGGTGTAAAGCATGCCGCCATTGGACTCTAGATCACTGGAGACGTTCTCTGGAGTGATGAATCTCACTTCTCTGTCTGGCAATCCGATGGCCATGTCTGGGTTTGGAGGTTGCCAGAAGAACGGTACTTGCCTGACTGCATTGTGCCAAGTGTAATGTTTGGTGGAGGGGGGATTATGGTGTGGGGTTGTTTTTCAGGGGTTGGGCTTGGCCCCCTAGTTCCAGTGAAGGCAACTCTTAAGGCATCAGCATATCAAGACATTTTGGACAATCTCATGCTCCCAACTTTGTGGGAACAGTTTGGGGATGGCCCCTTGCTGTCCCAACATGACTGCACACCAGTGCACAAAGCAAGGTCCATAAAGACATGGATGAGCGAATTTGGGGTGGAGGAACTTGACTGTCCTGCACAGAGTCCTGACCTCAACCCCATAGAACACCTTTGGGATGAATTAGAGCGGAGACTGTGAGCCAGGCCTTCTCCTCCATCATCAGTGCCTGACCTCACAAATGTGCTTCTGGAAGAATGGTCCAACCTTCCCATAGACACCCTCCTAAACCTTGTGGACGGCCTTCCCAGAAGAGTTAAAGCTGTTATAGCTGCAAAGGGCGGGGCCAATTCAATATTGAAACCTACGGACTAAGACTGGGATGCCATTAAATTCTATGTGTGTTTAAAGGCAGGCTGACCAATACTTTTGGTAATATAATGTATGTTGTGCCATTGCTGTAAATTGCCTAATTTCTATGAAAAAATGTCTACAATGTAGACTGAGTTTAAGTATCTACGTGTCTTTACTCAACTCTCAGGAACAAGGTTATGCCCCTCCTAACAATGGGTTGTGATTTCATTTACACAGACATTTTTATCTCGTAGATTCAGTGAAGGGGACGTTAACTCTGCCGAATCTTACCAGCAAACACAGTGGAACATATGCGTGTACGTCCAGGAACACGGCCGGTGTGGCAGAGTGTACCATCACAATGGAGGTGACCTCAGGTACACTTAAAAGGCCAATTACAGTGTGACCTATATGGTGAGAGAAGCAGTTCTGACACCAGCAAGTCCGTCATCACAGGCTTTGTTGTTTATGGAGGAGTTAAGGGTCCTTTCACATGAGCATCATCAGGTGTGTCACAAAAATTAGTTTAAAAAATAAGATTAAAACCCAAATTCTTTACCATCAGTTTAGGCCATTTCACACTGGGCATCTAGCCCCTGTGTGTCCAAACCTGGCATTTACATGCACCCAGGAGGCACAGGTGCAGCGTTCACCCCTGCTGCCTGCAGCCTGTGAAAACAGCGGATTGGACGCACAGGGGAGAGACTCCCAGTTTGCATATCGTCCTATACATCCGTCTTCAGTTCAGTTCCATTTATATCAGTATACATCTGAATTTCACAGTTGTTTTTTTTTTAGTTGTTGAAGAAAATCATCATAGTTGGAAAAAATATATACCAAAAAAATAAGTTTCTTACCAACAAACTGATGTAAATGAAACGCACATAAACAGACAACATCAATTTATATTCATTTATGTCTTCAACCATTGAAAAGATCAAAAACCTTTTGGATTTTTTTTTTCTGCAGACATGAATGGACTTGGATGTAAATAGTGTACATCTGTTTACAGCCACCTGTCCATAGGCAAACATCGTGGTTCTGTCTGGAAAAACTGACAGACACATCCAGACTGTGTGCTCATGTGAAAGGGCCCTAAGAGGGTCACACAGGCCATAGGCGTGAGAGCGCCGCAATGGAGGAGTAAGAGGGCCACTCAGGAGGAGCGAGAGAGCAACGCTGGTAGAGTACGAGGGCGGCATAGGAGGAGTAAAAGGGCCATTCAGAAGCGGTAAGAGGGCTGCTCACGAAGTGTGAGAAGGCTGCACAGGAGGACTAAGAGGGCTGCTTACCAGGAGGACTAAGAGGGCTGTTTACCAGGAGGACTAAGAGGGCTGCTCGGGAGGAGGACTAAGCGTGCTGCTCGGGAGGAGTAAGAGGGTTGCTCGGGAGGAGGACTAAGAGGGCTGCTCGGGGGGAGGACTAAGAGGGCTGCTCGGGAGGAGGACTAAGAGGGCTGCTCGGAAGGAGGACTAAGAGGGCTGCTCGGGAGGAGGACTAAGAGGGCTGCTGAGGAGGAGGACTAAAAGGGTTGCTCGAGAAGTGTGAAAAGGATCCAAAGGAGAAATAAGAAGAAAGAAAGGGCCACACAGGAATAAGAGGGCTTTTCAGGAGGATGGATAAGAGGGCTGCTCAGGAGGAATAAGAGGGCTGCTTAGGAGGTAAGGGGAAACAGAGGAAGAATAAGAAGGTTGCCCAGGAGGAGTACGAGGGCCACGCGGGAGGAGTACGAGGCCACGCGGCAGGAGTACGAGGGCCACGCGGGCAGGAGTACGAGGGCCACGCGGCAGGAGTACGAGGGCCACGCGGCAGGAGTACGAGGGCCACGCGGCAGGAGTACGAGGGCCACGCGGGAGGAGTACGAGGGCTACACGGAAGGAGGTGTAAGGGGCAACAGAGGAGGAATAAGAAGGTTGCTCAGGGGGAGTACGAGGGCCACACGGGGGGAGTACGAGGGCCACACGGGAGGAGTACGAGGGCTGCACAGCCAGACTTAGAGGAGCACACAGGAGGGAGGAGAGGGCCAAAAGGAACAACCAAAAAACATCAATTTGTGAAGAATGTTTTAAATTGAAATGAAGTCTGGCAGAGTTCTCTTTTAACATCCACTCTTTTACATTCCAGCATCCAGAGTGGCCATCATAGTCGGGGCCGTGGTTGGGACGATTGTCGGTCTGTGCTGCCTGGCCATCTTGATAACCGTTTTGCTCTATTTATACCGACGGCAGAAGAAGGAAGCTCAGGATGAGATGGAGAATGACATCAAGTAAGAATCATCAGCAATGGCGGTTCTGGGCATGGTCACTGAGCGACTTCACAGACCTTCTTTCTGTACTTTCATTTTGCTTCTGTACAGTGTAAGGGTGATAGTGTAATAAGGATTTACTCTTGTTTAGGATTTGTCACAATGTCTGATTTCTTTTCCGTATATGTAACAGTCACATCAGAAATCATTTCAAAGCTAAATTATAGTTTAAAAAAATACACCTCCACCCCTAAACTCCCAATAAGGCTCATATACACCTTTTTCCAAGGGTCATCTGCACGTTCTGATGGCTTCATAGGTCCTTCCTCTTCTCCTCTGGAGGTGGCGGTGGGCGGTACTTACTGCTGCTTAGAATGGCGTTCACATAATGATGCTGGAGCTCTGTTTAGTGTAGCACAGTGAATTCAGGCTGTCTGGGGGTGGATCCATGACAAACTGGGCTCAAAGGAAGTGGTTTGAATGATGTTGGATGTCATTCAACCCAGAAGACTGAGGACATCTACTGATGAAAAGGAGTAATGCGTAAAACAACACAGGTTTAAAGGTAAATAGCGAAACAAAAATGCCTTTTTATGTTTTTCTACTAAAGGGTTATTTTTATTTTGGTTTCCTTGAGTTCTACATATTGAAAATACGCAGTACTTTCCATGTAAAATGATTACTTATTTTTTCAAGTATAATAAATTAAACTCCTAATTTCAATATCTCTGCTTTATCTGCAGGGAGGATGCAGCGGCTCCAAAAACCCTCACTTGGGTAAAGGCAAATGGGTCAGACCTTACTTTCAAAAATGGCACCCTATCCTCCATGAACAGCAACCGGGACCACAAGCCTTACCCTCCCAAGTCCCCCTCTGACACCACATCCATAAATACTGCCATAGGCAGCACCGCCGGCTACAGACCCCCCTATATCAGCGACAGAGGCCGAGTCACAACACCGACCCCCAGTATGTCCAGCCAGTCCCTGCCCGCATACATGGCGCCAGTGAATGGCAACTACTACACTACAGCCGTGCCAACAAGCAGAAGCCCTGCCCAGAAGACCAACGGTGTGGAACAGCAAGCTCCCAGGAAGGATTTAAACATTCCGTCTGGGGTGACTCCGTCCAATCTGGTGCGCATGGGGGCCGTGCCGGTTATGGTTCCAGCTCAGAGTCAGGCGGGGTCCTTGGTGTGATCCAGCTCAGTATTATTTATGACTGAATGTTTACAAGACTAAGCAGCCAACGATGATATGAAATATTTTCATTCTGCCCAGATATGGGCGATATATTCTACTGATTTCACAACAAGCTGGATCTTAACGGCCAATGGGATTTTCCCTGTGTGTCCTTATAATGCATCCACGTCTGTTCTATCACCTACAGACCCTCCCAGCAAAGCTCTCACATTTGGAAAATGACCCATCACTGTCCAAAGCGCCGTTTTATATTCACAGACAAACAGACGCGAGTCCTTCGTTTTTTATATTTTATAACTTTAACCTTTTTGCTGCAACATATTGATATTTGAAAAGAAGCCGGGCACGTCAGAACAATCGAGTGTTTTTTAATATTGACAGTCCTAAAAAACGTTTACAGCCCAACTGAATCAGCTGAATACATTCCAGGGCAAGGGTGGACAACAGCAACCCTCCAGCAATTTCAGAACTACAAGTCACATCATGCCTCTGCCTTGCTGTCATGCTTAGTTTTGCAATGCCTCATGGGACATGTAGTTCCACAACAACTGGAGGGCTGCAAAGGCAGTTACATCCTGAGTAGAAAAGCCTGTCCCTTGCCAGTATGCTGCAGAGCAGGACCCTTGTTCTCTGTATGGAAGCAGCGGTTTTTCTGCAAAGGACGACATGCCCCCTGCTGATTCTGACCTATAACTTTGCAATCAGTAAAATGGATGCTTTTAATTGGTGAATTCTAGCCTAGCAGAGGCGTGTGTAGAACCTCTGCAGAAGGACCACTGTTTCAAGCAAGGGTCCTTCTTTATAGAATGCTGGCAGGAGACAGGCTTTTCTTCATGCCTCCTGCTGAGTCTGATCTATAGCTTTGCAATCAGTAAAAAGAATTCTAGCTCAGCAGAGGGGAGTGTAGGACCTCTGCAGAGGGACCACTGTTTTCACATAGAGAGCAAGGGTCCTTCTCTATAGAATGCTGGCAGGGGCCAGGCTTTTCTCCTGAATTCTAGCTCAGCAGAGGGTGTGTAGGTTTTCTGCAAGGAGACCACTGTTGTCACTTAAAATGCAAGGGTCCTTCTCTATAGAATGCTGGCAGGGGCCAGGCTTTTCTCCTCAATTCTAGCTCAGCAGAGGGGAGTGTAGGACCTCTGCAGAGGAACCACAGTTTTCACATAGAGAGCAGGGGGGTCCTTCTCTATAGAATGCTGGCAGGGGCCAGGCTTTTCTCCTCAATTCTAGCTTAGCAGAGGGGAGTGTAGGACCTCTGCAGAGGGACCACAGTTTTTCACATAGAGAGCAATGGTCCTTCTCTATAGAATGCTGGCAGGGGCCAGGCTTTTCTCCTCAATTCTAGCTCAGCAGAGGGGTGTGTAGGACCTCTGCAGAGGGACCACTGTTTTCACATAGAGAGCAAGGGTCCTTCTCTATAGAGTGATGGCAGGGGCCAGGCTTTTTCCTAAATTCTAGCTCAGCAAAGGGGTGTGTAGGACCTCTGCAGAGGGACCACTGTTTTCACATAGAGAGCAAGGGTCCTTCTCTATAGAATGGCAGGGGCCAGGCTTTTCTCCTAAATTCTAGCTCAGTGAAGGGGTGTGTAGACCCTTTGCAGAGAGACCTCTGTTTTCACATAGAGAGCAAGGGTCCTTCTCTGCAGATTGCTAGCAGGGGACCAGCTATTCTAGTTCGGCTGTAGCTGCTTTCTAAAAAAAAAAAAAAAAAAAAAAAAAAAAAAAAAAAAAAACTGTAAGACTTTGCACATCTTTTGCTTTGATGCCCCTGGGGTGTATTTAGCTGATTTAGACTGAAAGCTCAGTAAGGCTGTAAATGATCTCTAAGTATATTGGAATTTTCTGTATCAGTTTTTATACATTTTTTGAGCTTTATTTTATTGTAAAATGAAGTAAGGAGTGAGATGTGTGTCTGATTAGTGGAGAATGCTGGGGTTTGTAGTTCTTCAAGGGATGTCCAATAACTTGCTTTATGGTATAATCATTGTGTTCTCCCTGAACTCCTGTCGGCCCATTCTGCATCTTTCTTCAAACCTTCAAACCCCAAGAATATTGATTTAAGCCGCAAGATTAATATTTCACAGAGGCCACCACTGTAGATGTACAGGATATGTGAATATTTACACAGAGAAATGTGTCCCGTTCTATATGCACCAATCAGAAACGGTCTTCTGCAGGACATGCTAGTCATGCAAAACTTTGGCGCAGTGTCTAGGAGTGACCTCTGCAGGTTCTAGGCTGGGGTTTTGTTTCGGCAGTATTTTTATGGTTCCAGAATGTACAAATATATTTCAGGACTGGACATGTATCGGGATTTTTGGTGAAGTGGAGTCTACTTCTGTGGTTGGGGTTCTGTCTATAATTTGGGAAGTTTTTAATATTGGAGGACATGGAGGTGGCACAGTGGAGAGGGGGGGGGGGATGTTTTATAAACCAACACTGGAAGTCTGTATACAGATGAGGGGATTGTGCCAGTCTACTTCCAGTCCAGGATATCTCCAGAGTCGCCATAATACTGGTCCAGGACGTTGGAGAATGCTCATACGGGGAGGAGTCAACAGTAACCTCCAATCAGAGCCGTGCAAGGATGCTTTATTTGTTCATTCATTTTTGTCATTACCAGAAAGTGCAGTATTCTCCATCACACCTTTATCCTGCACCATGTTCTGTAGAAAAGCTTCATCCTACATCACACTGTGAGCAGAGCCTCATCCTGTGCCCTGTTCTGCAGCAGAGCCTCATCCTGTGCCCTGTTCTGCAGCAGAGCCTCATCCTGTGCCCTGTTCTGCAGCAGAGCCTCATCCTGTGCCCTGTTCTGCAGCAGAGCCTCATCCTGTGCCCTGTTCTGCAGCAGAGCCTCATCCTGTGCCCTGTTCTGCAGCAGAGCCTCATCCTGTGCCCTGTTCTGCAGCAGAGCCTCATCCTGTGCCCTGTTCTGCAGCAGAGCTTCATCCTGTGCCCTGTTCTGCAGCAGAGCTTCATCCTGTGCCCTGTTCTGCAGCACAGCCTCATCGTACACTGCTTTCTGTAGCAGGACCTAATCACATATCACGTGCTGTAGCAGAGTTTCATACTACACCACATTCTGTAGTAGAGCCCCATCCTGAATCGTGTTCTGTCGCGGAGCCTCATTTTGCACCCTTTTCTTTAGCAGAGCTCCATCCTGAACTGCATTCTGTAGAGCAGCCTCATCCTGCATTGCGTTCTGTAGCAGAGCCACATCTGGGTGCCACACTCTGTAGCAGAGTCTCACCCTGCACCACAATCTGTAGCAGAGCCGCATTCTGCACCACATTCTGCACCACATTTTGTAGTAGAGCCTCCTCCTGCACCAGGTTCTGTAGCAGAGCCTCATCCTAAACTACATTCAATACAGATTCTCATGCTGCTCCACGTTCAGCAGCATAGCCTCATCCTGCATCACATTTTGCAGCATAGCCTCATCCTGCACCACATTTTGCAGCATAGCCTCATCCTGCACCACATTTTGCAGCATAGCCTCATCCTGCACCACATTCTATAGCAGAGCTTCATTCTACACCACATTTTGTAGTAGAGCCTCAGACTGCACCATGTTCTGCAGCACAGCCTCATTCTGCACCACATTCTGTAGCAGAGCCTCATTCTGCACCACATTCTGTAGCAGAGCCTCATTCTGCACCACATTCTGTAGCAGAGCCTCATTCTGCACCACATTCTGTAGCAGAGCCTCATTCTGCACCACATTCTGTAGTAGAGCCTCATTCTGCACCACATTCTGTAGTAGAGCCTCATTCTGCACCACATTCTGTTGCAGAGAGACTCATTCTGCACCACATTCTGTAGTAGAGCCTCATTCTGCACCACATTCTGTAGTAGAGCCTCATTCTGCACCACATTCTGTTGCAGAGACTCATTCTGCACCACATTCTGTAGCAGAGCCTCATCCTGCACCACATTCTGTAGCAGAGCCTCATCCTGCACCACATTCTGTAGCAGAGCCTCATCCTGCACCACATTCTGTAGCAGAGCCTCATCCTGCACCACATTCTGTAGCAGAGCCTCATCCTGCACCACATTCTGTAGCAGGGCCTTATGCTGCACCGTGTTCTGTAGCAGAGCCTCATCCTGCACTACTTTCTGTAGCAGAGCTTTCCAAAAATCATCTTTTTTTACAGAGTTATTTATTTTAGTTTTTTTATTTGTTTGGAAATTGTACAGAGATGAAACCAAAGCATTTTTAGTCCTCCAGCCACATGAAAGGAGGATGAAATATAGTGTGAGGGTGACAGAGATCGGGGAAGGAGGGGCACACCGAATGACGTCACAGGTTTTCTGCTTTTATTTTGTATTTTATGTAAAGACTGTTCTAAAATTTCTAAAATGCTATAAAGAATGCCAAGATACTCTGTTATATTTAAAGCACATTTTTCAATAAAAAGCTTAATCCCAACAGAATGAAATGTTCTCTATCTATCTATTATCTATCTATCAGTTTGCATACCCTGCCAGAAATTGTGAAATTTTTGCATTGATATTGAAAATATGACTGATCATGCCAAAAAACTGTCTTTTATTGAAGGATGATGATCATATGAAGCCATTTATTATCACATACTTGTTTGGCTCCTTTTTAAATCATAATGAAAACATAAATCACCCAAATGGCCCAGATCAAAGGTTTCTATCCACGGGAATGTTTTGCCTTGGTACAGACACACATGGGTTAAAATGGCAATTAACCCCTGCCTACTTATACTCCCTTCCTGCCCAGGCCAATTTTCAGCTTCCACCGCTGTCGCACTTTGAATGACAATTGCGCAGTCATGTAACACTGTACCCATATGAAATTTGTAGAATTTTTTTCACACACATAGAGCTTTCTTTTGGTGCTATGTACTCAGTGCTGGGTATTTTATTTTTTGCGCTATAAACAAAAAAAGAGCAAAAAATTTGAGTAAAAAAAAAAAGTTTTTCTTTGTTTCTATTATAACATTTTGCAAACAGGTAATTTTCCTC